AGTATTATGATTGCGCCTAATGTATCAACTGTGTTGCATCTACATGTATCCAGCTGTATCGTTTTTTAGAAAAATGGGTTAAATGCGATATTTCAAATAAAATATTTGACATATTTTAGTTTTAATTCAACAATTTTAGTTACTTAGACGTTTTTGATTATTTCTATCAAATAATTGCACTTATATATTTTACACTACTTACATTTACGCTTCTTTTATAATTAAATGCATTTATGATCAAGATTCAGTTTATTGTTATCGACTGCCAGTTAGAACTGATTTTTTTTTGTGTTGTTCGAATGGGTTTTACACTCTTACCGCAATTAAACGTTTATTTTTAATTGATGGTAACGGCGGTGTCTGGTCATGCAGATCAGTAGAGCACCACTTCATTCTCGACTTAAACAAAAAATACGATTGTTGTTTGTAAGTTTTGATTCTATTTTGTAGCTCTGAATAATTACTTTTTACATATTATTTTAAAACACCGAAAACATCTTGCTTAGTTGTCAATCATAGATCCTTGTTAACTGTCTCGATATAGTTGTTTGTTGTAAGCGGTATTAGTTTTTATCATTCTGAATAATTAATTCAAGTGATAACTTATTTATACAGGGTGTCCCTAAAAGTTACAATAGGTCGAAGGGAAAATGGGAATATTTCAACTTTGGTTTTTCTAAATCACTTATTAGATTATAAGAACAAATTCGTTGTATTTACCTTGAACATATATGTTTACAAAAATGTTTTGCACACAATCTAACAACAAACTTCGTATGGCGAGAAAAACCTTGTACAATCAATTCTTAAACTTATTTTATATAAATAATATAAATATTGTCTTTATACAGACGGACTGATTTCGCGCCAAAAACCTTTTGTTTTTTGCGTTTTTTTTTATCAATCCGGTGACTATACAAATATAAGACCACAGAAAAAAAACCCGTTACCCCCCCCCCCCCCCCCCTTCACCAAATAACACCGACTGTGTCCGTCCGAGAGACATAAAAACCCGTTGCCCTTGTCGTGGTTTCCCACTATTATAAAGGCACGTCGGTGCAACCATTGTGTTATCACAAGCTGCAACTTATACGACAACTACTGTCAGCTGTTGCTTATGGCACGCGCCGAGGAGAATGCGTTCGTTTCTGACGGATTCGTGACGTCTGCATTGTTCACGGTCGTTCTCACGGATTAACACATATTATCTTTATCTATTATTTTTACAACACCCGATTTAGTAGGGGAAAAAATCAACACAAGATCCGGTATAAGATGTAACAGTGAATTCGTTGATTCAGAAAAACCTACAACTAAATTATTAATCACACCATCGCCTCTTCGCCAAACCTACATTGGGTTTCTTTAGCGTTTGAGTAATTAGCCATTTCCTAATAAACACTACTCGATGACCGTGAACAATATCATACGCTGTGACGTGTGCTTATGGTATTTACTATGTAATGTACTGTCAGAGTAATTTTTTTTTGTATTGTCCGACCATGAACATTCTCGGACAGTATACCAGGAATTATTATTGTGCGTTTTCGTCGCACGTATTAGGATTTTTGAGTAATAACCGTCTGGTTTTGAAAATAAACCAACATAAAATATTATCACACAGCACTTGTCAAAACGAACGATAACTTCACTGCCAAGTCAAAGCGGAAGTTGAGTTTTTCCAAACCACACGCCACGTTGACCGTGTCGGTCTCAAAAATCCAAATGACAAGACAATATAAATTAAAAGGCTGTGACGTTAACGACCGGTGATCAAATATATTATACTTACTGGTGTTTATTTTTGACAGTGTTGACTCTGATACATCAAGCTTGCTATAAAGCAGCGAAATCACCGGAGTTCGTTCAGTTCAGTTCAGATCAGCTATACATTACGTTTTCCAGACAAATCCGTAACTTATACTTGGAAATGTTTTTATAGGTTACCATATAAAAATATAAAATGTTTTTTTTCTTCACTAGGTTAAAATAATTAATATCGCTTTTGTTGTTAAAAATATTAACAACGATTGTGTATTCTGGTTTCTCAAGGTTTTTGAAAATTCATCACAAAATAATTGCAATAAATAAATGCCAAAAAATAGTGTTTGAATTAGTAAAAGTTCAAATTAATTATTTTTACCTAGTGTTTGTGATGGTTATTTTGAGCGTGAGATTTCACCTTCATTGCTTCATTATTATTTTTTTAATTGTTGCATTCCACTCGACCGACATTACGAATTCCATTCAATATTTAGGACATATCGTGACTTGGTATTCAATTCTAAAAAATATGTATATGTAGGTACGCTACACAAAACGAGTACTATAGGTAAACTATTATTAAATAGTTTCATTTAAGAACACAATATCATCTGTCTACTTATTTCATTTTGTAATAATAATATATGGTTTTTTAGAAATCATTTGGAAATGATACAATCGATAAAATAACCCAATTTTTATTACTCTTGGCCACCATTATTAAACAATACAAGTTTATTTTTTTACTTAGCGTGTTCCAGTCTGATAACATTTAGTACAGTTTCAAGTTCAGAGTTATTTTTAGTTTTTTGTATTTTGTCTTTTTGCTTTCTTACTGTAGTGAACTCGGTCAAAATCGACTAGCCTATTAAAAATAATAATTATAGTTTTGCAAATGTTTTATAATGTGTCATTAGTTATTATTTATTAATCATATTATGCTACTATATTTTATAGTACATACGTTGTGTTATTTTCTGTGTATTAGAGTTTAATGTGTTTAAATCAGATATTTTTATTTTAAATATTAATATACCTAAGCATCAGAGTTGCATCGAGGTAATTTTTAGAAATGATTTCATGCTAACAATTTCAGTATAGTTGTATGCGTTTTATTAAAAAAAAAAAAATACAAATATTATTTTAACATTTATAACTAAATTATTAATATTTGTTTTTAATGGTAAACATAATATTATCATTGTTAAATGTCAATCAAATGTCTTTTGAAAAATGTTCCGACTTGTTTTATATACATGTCCATGACTCACGGTCATGTATAATGTACATTTATTAATTCAGAATTTATACAACGCATTATATCTATTTGTTTTATATTATTCGAATCAAATGACCAGACGTTTTGTCAAACACGGTTTCAATATATTATTTTATGTAATATCGATTTATCTTGCTTAGCACGTAACCAAGAATAACAAACGTAAGAAATCAATAACGACCAAACATCAAATAGGTACAACCAATCGAACTATTCTAGATGTGGGGTTTTCTGTATTGTATTTAATATTTTGTACTGTGAGCATAAATGCAAGTTTGAAATTATTCATAACACTAATACTTTTGAGATTTGACGGATAACTAACAATTTAAATAGCCGAATATTAAATCAATCCATCGGATCAAATACACCTTTGACGGCTAGTTTTCTTATTTTAATATCCAAAATCATATTATTATGTGGTCTATATATACCTATATACTTTTTTAGTAATCCACGAAGAAGCATAAACGTTTTGTTATTCTATAAGCAAACGGAAACCACCGTATTCCAAATGCTGAATTTCATTGATTTATTGCAATTCGCAAAAGAGTATAATGTTTCTTTTAGTAAACAACAGTCAACATCGATTATCCCGGTTTTTTTAAACAATTATATTATTCTTTACGCTCTAGAAATCAAAAATTATTTTGTCCTCGCCACTTCCTTTATGATTTTTTTTTGATTGTACATCAGTTATTCTACAAATTGCACGTAGTATAATATATATTATACCACAGATACTAAAGGATATATCAACGAAGTTAAGCTGACAGACTAAAACTGAACTGATAAAAATTTAAAACAAATTAATGGCCCTTTTGTTTCTGTACACATTCTTATGTTCACCTCAATATTTTGAAGTGTTATTTTTAGTTTTTTCGATATCAAAACTATGTTTATTTTGGAATTTTTCGAAACCGACCATTAACTAATAGTCGTTAATAGTCGCACGTGCGCTTAATGTTAGGTTATGCAATGACCACGACTAAAGTACCTAGTATATTATTGTGTTTTAAAAATCGTGGGAACATATGATAATTACAGTTGTTAACTTGAGCCGACTAAACGTTCGTGTGAATATTTTTTGTCTTCTTCGTGCATTACAAGTGTAGATACTTAATCAACAGCGTTGGCAAGATGAACCATTTAAGGTTACATAGGCGCAGGCGTTTTGCTATTTAATTGTACCGTGTAATAGCTAATAAAAATTAACATACCAACACCGTAGTACTTTTTATAGACAATGAATAACAATTCAATTTGTTTTTAAAACTGAGGTACTTTAACATTGAATTATTGCAATATTAATTAGTTTTATAATGTCAGTACATATGCAGGCATATGCCATATCATTTTTTTTTCGAAGTCCATTGGATAACAATTAAATTTCATGATCTGATGACATTTTTGGCAACAACCGGTAGGAGTGACGACTTCCGGTCACGCGATTGTATCCAATAGAGGACGATCACGTAACCAGGGTCAATATAGATATTAGCATTGAATCTGTTCTTTGTTATAGAGCATATCGCAAATCTGTTAATCTGTTTTATTTCTGTCACGGGTTGGAACGTAGGTTTTTATCAAAATGTTAAATTATTTGTCGAAGGTTCGGTTGTGACCAGATGGATTGTTTTAGTTTACTCAATATTATCGACTCAATAGAACGCCCATCGCTAAGTCATCCGTGTTGAATCGAAACAACGGTGTACTTTGATTTAAATACGGTCGGTTGTAGCGCTGCGGTGAACATTTTGCTCTCACTGTTTTATAACAATTAAATCTACTGTTTCCTCCTGTATTGTTTTATAATTGCGCGTTTTCCATTATTCGATTGCATATCCACAACACCAAGAGAAATTGATATTATTAAATGTTTATTTCTTCAATTGTCACCGAGGCTCTTGTTATTCACGCAAAATTGTTCTGATGAATGGTTTTTTTTATTTTTCAGATGAGAATTTGTCCACGGCTTGTCACCACAATCGAAGATGACTGGCGGTATTGAACAATGTCCGTTATCAGAAATTCTAACACAGCCGTATAGATGAAGTTATATCCGGGGTGGCAAGGTAAATATAAGTACTTTAATTAATCCTGAACACATGTTTTTTATAATACGCTAACGCAGAGTATTACGTTTCAGTTTGGCTCTTGGCGTGCATTTCATTAGTATTTTGTCAAGATGACATTGGTACCAAAGATGCGACCAAAGGGTCCACTATGCCAGAGCAAACGAAATTGTGGGATTTGGGGCTTTCCACGCTTCAAAAACCAACTTCACCCATCGGCGAAGAGCAGATTGAAGACGAATTAACTAATAGTCCTACTACCACAGAAAAAATTGCAGAAAAGCGAAAATTTACCATTCGGCCATCTAAGGACTACGGGGAATCTCGAGAAATATTTACATCGAAAATCAATGAAACAGGCCCATCAACTATTAGGACTAGCATTAGCTCTTCGACAAAAAAATTTAAGGCCTTATTGTCGGCCAGTTTAAATAAATCCGATGCGCCTAATACCGCATCAGAAGATGAAGTCGATTCTACAACTACTTTTGACGGACTTACTAGAAAATCGTTAGGAGATATTACCGAAAGAAAAAACAGGCAGCGTCTCGATGGGTTGAGAGGCGTTACGACCAATAGAGGAAAGGCTCGATTCCAAAACGACCCTGGTACAGAAACACCAGAAATCGTGACAACTCAACGACACAGACGACCGACGAGACTAAAAGTTACCGAACAAAGTTTCAAAGACGATATAGGTTCTACTCTGTTGAATGATGATACATTCGAGGCAACCACAATTATAGACACATCAGAGGACGAACAAAGACCAAAGTTCAAAAAGCCTCCGTTAATAGCAACTCATCATCCAAATTTCGGAACTACTACCGAATCTACACGACGACCGAATCTGAGATTAAATTTGAACTTGAAGCATAAAATTTCTTCTTCAACTCTTAGAACCAGACTTCCCGAGTTGGATATCGTTGAATCTGAGATCGTCGCTCCTACTAACAAAACGCAAGAGTCGCTTACTAACATCCAGTCAAATAGTATTAGACCGATTAAGTTGAGTGCACAGAAATCATCTGTAGCGCACCAGCAGCCGATACCGCCTACAGCGACTGCTTGGGCTCTAGCGTCACTAAAGGCTCCAAACAATACGAATAGAGTTTTCAAAAAACCTTTGAATTTGACAAGTGTACAAGAACCAATAGCTAAAATCAAACCATTTGTCACGTGGTCTTCAAGGTTACAAAAGAATAACGAAGAAAATACAACTACAACCACGGCGTCAAATTTGCAGCGTACCACTGAGTTAAATGATTCTTCGACTGGTGCTCCGCTCAGGGAAACGTCGACCAATTTGAGTTTCACCAGTTCGGTTCCCATAACAACCTCTACGATAACAACGACTACCGGACAAAACTTACTCGAAGATCGAATAGCTAATAACGTTAGCGAAACAACGGTGGTGAAAATCAGCGGTGGCGATACTGATCAGAATAAATACGAAGTTTACGGAACTCAAAAGCCCGAGGTAGAAAATACAACTACCGTTATTGAAACTTTACGGCCACCGACTCCTACGACGTCTTCGGAGTCGCAAGAATCGAGTTTATACCTTGTAACGTCGTACAAATCGATTTTGGAAAACAACAGCACCTCTGAAAGTCCAGCAAAGATTTTCTCGTCACTGGAATCTTCGACTTCGGAAGGAACAACGTTTAAATATCCCGGCGTTCCTGAAAATGACTTCATGTCATCATCAACCGACCGCTCGAAAGTTGAACCAAGCAGCGAACAAATGCCAACGAGCGTAGAACGCGAAACGTCATCTGAAGTGTCCAAGGACTTGAGTAGTACGACTTCGACCGAGTTACCCGAGTATTCGGAATCTTCAGAAGAACCATCGGCCAATAACGCGTCGACGACAACCGAAAAACAAGCAAGCAGTTCTAGTGCAGGTTTTGAGTTTTCTGACGTCAGTCTTGATCATCAAAATCATTCGACTACAACGGAAAAGTATTTGGAGAAAATTAAAACTAAACTGGATGACAAAATAACCGAGTCTACTAATTCCCAAGATTCGTACGAAATGGTCGATTATACTCACCTGTTCACGTCAGAGCGGCCAGTGTCGTCTACCGAAAACGACAACCGAACAAAATCGGCGTCAGAAATATCACCTTCGGGTAAAATAACAAATTTATATTGACTATTTAAAACAAATATACATATGAAGGGCACAGGGGAAAAACGGTAGTAGTCACATTATGAAATTTTTGTTTTTCAAATAGTTTTTTTCAATTTATGCCATTATTTTTTATTTATTTATGTCAATAGACTGTTTAAATAAATAAATGTACTATTAGAGTAGCGTTTAATGTGATTTTTTTTGTTCTCATGTAAGAGGGAGAGGAATTCACGAACTTTGTTTTTGCTATACTCTAAAATTTTCATAATGTGACTACTACCGTTTTTCCTCATATGTATATATCCAATAATTGTATAATATTTATTTTATTCGCAGAAGCTACATCGGAGACCAACGATGAACGCCAGACGTCTTCGCAGGGGCCGCCAAGCTGGTCTTACAGTCCCGACACGTTTTCATTTTCCGACTTCGACTTCAACACGACCGACGGCCACGAAGACTCGGGCGAGGAATTTCAGAAAAACGTCGAAGCGTCTTCGCAGAGTTCCGTATCCTCAAGTGAACAGACCCCGGAGTCGGATCTTTCGGAAAACGATGTCCCCATGTTTGCCAGTTCGACAACCACCACTACTACTACTACAACGTCCACGACGTCGACAACTACACCTAGACCAGAAACGACTCAAACACCTACTACAACGACAACTACACCTAGACCAGAAACGACTCAAACGCCTACCATTCCGACCACTATGATGCCCACGACTACGTCTAGTACTACGACAATTAAACCCAGACCCAAAACTACTGTCCCTCCACCCACTTCTACTACTCCTAAGCCTATTACTACTACTGCACCTATTACTACTACTACCCCTACACCCATTACCACTACTACTCCTACACCTATTACTACAACCTCTCCTCCTACGACTACTCCTACTCCTTATATTATAACAACCACCTCTACCACCGCAAAACCAAGTACGACCACAAGACCCAAGCCAATTACGGTTGTTACGACCACCTCGACGCCCGATGTTGCTGTTGTCCAATCGTATTTAAAAGTGTTGGTTAATTCGACGGCGTATGACGTTTGCGAAAATCAAGACGACCTTAAGGGTGCCATTGTTAAACTCTTCGAGAGTGGCTCTGGAAAGTGAGTTTATTAACCACCGTCGTGATGTTTTAGAACATAAATCATAACCCAATATTAAATATTTACCCTGTTATCTAGTGTGCGTACGGAAGACCAAATTAAATTCCTGAATCTCGACGAACGAAACTGCAATGAACTCGATACTGATAAATATCCAGTCGGAGTCGAGTTTTATTTAATTGGTTCTAATGGCAATTTCAGTACACAAGCTAACGAAGAGTTTATCACTTTACTGGACAATAACAGACTCGATTATAAACTAGATGTAAGTTACAGAAAAGTCTATACATTTAATCAGCATTTTTAAGTTAACATCAATTTAATGTGTTTATTGTTATCTCGGCATATGCGTTTTATTCGTATTAAAAGTTATTCTTTTTATATAGGTGATAGGAGTGGAATTTTTGAAAAAAATGTTAAAGAATGACGAAGTTCATAACGACGAAGAACAGAGTCCTAGGTTGACGGAAGCTATGTACTTGGCTTGTATAGCCGGTGTCTGTACCGTTCTTGTATTGATATTGGTGAGTTAAATAAAAAAATACTTAAGTCTGCCAAGCGTAAGGGATTTGGCGTTGAACTAAATCTTACTTAGCTTGGAAAAACGGTGTTAATAATTAAAATGTTGTTACTTCATAAACATGCATGAATATTAATTTATGTATGCACTTTATTGTGTACATACATTTAGATGCGTCTGAATATCAAAAATAAACAATTTAAGATCAGAGATGTTAGCCTTTGGTAATTACTTTTAGATTTATTAACGTATGCACGTTTTTTGTCTAGCTTGTCGTCCGCAAACGCCAAAAAAGGTTCAACTACGGGCAAAGGTGCACGCCGGTGTCTTTGGACGATTACAGCATGGATAACATTTCGGTTTACAATAGCGTGAGAAGAAAAGGAGCTCTGAGGGCATCAAAACGGTCTTATGGAAATCCGGCTTTCGACGACCCCGTATGTATTTTTCGAACAATCAATATTTGTGATTATTGTGTTTTACAGCGCAATTATATTGTGTTTCGATAGTAATTTGACAAACTCATTATCGTCGAATAACGCGATTATTATGGTAAATACGGATTAGAGAACTTCAGGCACAATGTATTGTTTATCGTTAACGAATCGATAACAATATTCTATTATGTAGGTCGTCCAGATAAAGTTGACGTATGTTCATACTAGATTTTTTTTCAATTTAATATTATTATGTTAAACTCCGGCGATAGTCGCGTCCAGTCCATTGATGTTATTTGGGCAACCGTTTTCATACATAATATACTCCTCGCCGAGATAACCAAACGGTAATCGCTTTCGACGTTGTTGGTGTTATTTCCGACGACGTCCGCCGCGGTGATTCACTATATTGTATTATGACAATATTTGCTGTGTGCTCATCAAATAGACACACTACGATGGTCAAATGTTAGCGCGTTTTTTAATCGTTGTCTCATCGCTGCACCACCGTATCCGTGTGTGTACTCAAAGATTGTCGTTGGAAATATCACCGACTGTTGTCTGATGTGGTAAAGCAACGGCGGCTGAAATTATACGTACTACGGTATAGAACCACGCGACACTACTATTGAAGTCGATTAAACACGGTCGATATAGCTGTTGAAATTAAGATATCTCCCACCACTCGTCCGGATTATCGGACCGTTACCGTACGGGTTTCGTTGCTTGGCACACGGCGTTCGAAATAAAAGGTCGCCCGTATTGATAACATTTTACCGGCTACTTGTAGAGCGAGCGCGTCACATGCGAGTGTACATCTAGATGCGCTAAATAATCATTACCATCAGCACCGACCGTGTGAACGTGTGTCGCCGCGGCGTTCGGGATGGATTAAAATATTATTCTCCAGTCGGTTCGTGTCACGTTCGGCGTACACGGCCATCGTCGGCTGCCACGCGATCGGCATTCCTGTAGGAATTTCCATCCGGATCCCACGGGAGAGCGGCCGCCGCCAGTATGTGTTGCTGGCGTTGTTTCCGGCCGAAATACTGCCGGACGGTGCCGGCCAGACGGGACAGCAGGCTCAGCAGGTTCAGCAGGTCCAGCCGGAACAACAGTAGGCGATGGAGTATTTTCACGATTTTCAACAAAGACGTAGGCGTTACCGGCTGTTATTTTTTATTGCCCCTTTTTCAAATTGTCGTACCTAACGCGAAACGTACACGGTATCTCGACTTATATTTATGTTTCTATGTTTTTGTTTGTTGTGCAGACTGCGGTTTCGCATCAGTTGAACTTTGCCGGTCTCGCTAGCTTCTCGGAAGACCGACCGGCCATCGACGAAGAGTTCTCCAACATACCGGTGATCACGGTCAAGCCGGACGAACTGCCGGCCGACTGCGAGACCAAGAACCGCTACGCCAACGTGATACCCTTGCCGGAGACCAGAGTCCTCCTGACGCCAAGACCGTCGGCCGGTCCGACCGCAGACTACATAAACGCCAACTTTGTCAAGGTAAACCACAAACAACAATGCCGACCGCAATGAATTTATGTACAACGACCATTCGTCGTGTTTAGGGCTACAAGGGAGCGGACAGGTTCTACATAGCTTGCCAGGCGCCGATGCAGTCCACCGTGCCAGACTTTTGGCAAATGATTTGGGAACAAAACACTAGGGTCATAATGATGGTAACGAGTTTGACCGAAAAAGGAGTGGTAAGTCTATAAATAAACGCATTGTTAAGTCGCCGTTACCCCTTACCCTAAGCAATTGGCTAGAATACACTCGAGGTGGCCGTCGGTACTAGGCAAACTCTCTAGAGGAGACCTCATAACGAGACAAGTGTACGTTAAAGTTTTTACACGGCTGGTTTTTTTTGAGTTTTCTATGGCGTTTGACGTGCTCGAAAGTAGAATTCGGTCATGTAGGCTACTGTAGCAGATGACCCTTGTATGTTCACAAAATTCGAGGAAAAGTAATAAATAAAATAAAATCGCGTACTATTTTTGAACTGAAGCCAAAATACTAATTAGAACAAATTATTGTAAAGTTTTGTTGTTTTCGAATGGTGTAAAAATGTAATAAAATGTCAACTGGCATTTCACTCGGATACACATTGACTATTGTTTTAATGTCCTACCTGAGACATTCATATAATTATGCATAATATTTATGATGAGGCGGTTACGGGGGCGACAAATGTGCTCATAACAATATTTTGGTAAAAAAAAATCATTGTTTTTACAACGAAATAATTGTTTATGCAGCATTTAACAGTCAGCTGTCGCTATTACATTTCACCGGTAAAAAATTACATACAAATTACATAGAATAATAAAACCTACATAGTAAACCTGGTAAACGCAATTCAATTTTCATAAAAGTTTATATTTAAATTCATTGCATAACTGCGTTATTGGTTATATGCTTTTTTTTTAATTTTTGTAATCTTAAAATTGTCTGTTAATTATTAAATGTGGCTAACCGCTTGTAATGCTCGTGAAAAACACAACGATTGCTGAAAATTATTTGATTACACAAGACGACTGCGGTTCAACAAATCGTTTAGGTCAAACCGTTTTAATCCGTTATTTTATTACAATAAGAGCAATGATAAGTTATACATTGTACTATTTTCCCATTATTCTAAATACATAATAGTAGATGTTCTATTTATTTTATAATTTTTTTAATAATGCTAAGCACCTAGTAATAAGCTATATAAGCCATGTATAAGTGGATACCTCAATTGGTATATTATTTTTCGGCGGTCATACAATTCTTATCTTTTTGTTAAACAAATTAACAATGACCAAATATAACCGGGTCTAATCGATACGTCGCGACGGTGTTATTACACAACTATATCAATTCACCCCTATTAAAAGTTAAGTAGTTTACACATTTTTTTTAAAATCGTGTAATCGATTAACGTTATTGTATACTTACATTTCAATGGATTATAAACCGTGAAATATAATAGGTATGACATGTATGTAATGTACTAGATAACATTTTTAATAGATTTACTGTTTTGGTGTGTGAAATAACCGGGTTTAAATAGAAAAAAAAATATGGTGTGCACAATTTTTTTGCGACTAAAATATATTTCCTTAAAAATTATCAACAACTTTGTTTAAACTAATCTGATCAATTTGTTATTGCTCTTTTACGTTTTTATTTTCACATTAATATGCTACTCATAAGTCTGACTACCTATTATTGATGTGACATAATTTCGATTTTCTTTTGTGTCAGTTAATGTCTTTGTTTCCCAAAATTGTAAGACCGTACTTATGTTAGGTATTTTATAAGCACTATTTTTTCTATTATTACACTTTTTTACTCAACTCGGTTACTTAATGTGTGACGTACCTAATATGAAAATCATCAAATTTTCTAAATTCTTTAGAACATAACATATTATAATAATTAGCAGCGCGGTCAAGGCGTTTATAATATCAGTGTATACCTTTTATGAGTTGAATGAACTTTTCATATGCAATAACCAAAGATAATGTTATTTTTTATTATGTTATCCGTGTATACATAACACGCTAAAACTGGTTGTCTCCATCCGTGTGTAGAGTTAATGTTTACGGTCAATTTCCCCTACCTGAAAATATCATAATATTTCGCTTTTTCTTTATATTATAATATCATTACAAAGAATATCATGAGTTAAAAATAAAAGGTAATGAAGTTAAATGACAACGGATAAAATTCTAAGATTAGCATTTTTTTTGTCTTGTTTCAATATTTTCACAAACTACAATAGTCGGATTAAATGGCATTGCTTTAGTAGGTATTGCATTATTATGGTTTTTTGTATGAACAAATTAATCGAGTGTATAGCGTGTCCATCCGCCTTAGGAAATCGTACTGGGTAATTTTTTTTTCTTTACTTGCTCATAGGTTTTGATAGTATGTTGTTTTTTGTATAGGAAGTAATATTATTTCGTTATTTAATAGTACAAGTCTTGGTATATATGTGTGTATCGCAACATTATTAAAAAAAAAAAACAAGTTAAATTTTATCAAGCAACTTAAGTGCTAACGATTAGAAAAAAACTCTACTTATTATTATAACAGTGTTAATTGTTGTTAATAGTTTAATTTAACGTCTGAAAAACTGAAATCGTGTTAACGACATGGTTCAAAAACTTCAAGGTCACACTATCACAAGATAGTTTTACTCTTTAATTTTGAGATAGAATTTAAATTGAAGACCTTCGAATCAATTTTAAACACTTTTTTTTACTTCAACTTGATTGCTAACGTTCTTGTTAAGGACAAAACAATAATAATATAAATATTTATATCATACTTGATAGGATTCTTCTTGATTGCTACTATTCGGTTTGAGCGGTTTTAGGATCAATTAAAAAATACTTGATGCTTTTCACCATGCCCCTCCCACTGAAATAATTTTATTAATTCATACAGGTAAAAAATATCGATATCAATAAGTTGATGAATTTCAGGTTTTCCAAAAATTGAAGGTAATCCGTGATAAAGTACCAAAATTATGGGTTTTTTCTTCAAAACTATTTTGCATATACATTAGGCACTATTCGATTACAGTCATTAATCAATTTGAGCTTCTGAATATTGTTTTTTATCACGTTTATTGCAGTCAAAACTATTAACTGGGATTTGTTATCGAAGTGCTGTAATAAAAAGATAAATTATAATATAAAACAACACTTGTAGAATTATGGAATCAAACGCAACGCGCAATGAAAAAAAACCACTCGTTTTGTTTTGTCAAAAATAATTGTATTACTATGAATAACACAAAATAATTGAATGTATTTTTTTCCAACAGGAAAAGTGTGCCGATTATTTACCGCCTTCAGAAGTCTTAGACTGTCATCGTTTGTTCGGAGATTTTCAAGTGACTTTAAAGAAACGAGAAGTCAAAGAAAAGTTCATCGTTTCCAGCCTACAACTGAAAGTAAGAAAGCCATTCGTCGACTGACGCTGCCTGATTGACTTCTTATAACTAAAATAATAATAATTCTATTGAATTTCATTCAATCAAATGTTATACTTCTATTGAAATCTCAAAAATAATATCTATCTTTTACGTGAACCGGCTTACATGCAAACACTGCATATTTTTATTTTTACGAAGGATGTCAATGTACATGTTATGCTAAGCCTTTTGTACTTTGGAATTTTGAAACTTTTTTTTTCTTGTCTAACCGGACCTAATTTCACAACTATTTTTAAGTTTGGCACAGGGGCGAACAAGACGAGTTTTTTAAAAATATTTTTTTTTTTTGGAAAATGTAGGCGGTTTTTTGTTTGATGCGTAACTTTATTTGTAGCTGCTACTTGTTCGAAGCTTCTGTTCACTCGCTTTATTAATATTTTTGTTTCTTTTTTTAGAATCTCGAGACAAACCTATGGAGGGATATCACACACTTGTGGTACGGCGGTTGGCCGGCACAGGGTGTCCCGTCCGACTGTAGTGCCATGATGAATTTCTTGATGGAAGCTCGGTCGCATATGAAGTCTAACATGGGCCCACACGTGGTGCATTGCAGTCCGGGTACCGGCAGGACGGGCACGGTGATTGCCTGTGACTTAGGTATCCGAGAATTTGAACTCACCCGAAACGTGGACGTGCCTAAGACCGTGTACAACATACGAAGATGTAGAGCCGGTGCAGTGCAGACCAGAGATCAATACGCGTTTATCTACAAGGTGATTATCGTTGCATAACCAAAGTCTTTGCAGCATCAATAATATTGATAAACGCAGAGTTGGGCACCAACTAATTTACATAGTTAACTCTACATATATTATAGCTAGTTCCATTAATGGACAGTAATAGTGTGGCCTATACAAATAATACGTTTCGTACCAATAAAAAACGCCCTTCGGAACTTTTATGGTGTTTGTATTTCTGTATTACCTACATTAAAAACGTTTCCTTTTGTATTTTATAAAAAAGAAAAATATTCGAATAAGATATTATCATTATATTCCAATTAAAAAAAACAAACAAATGATTTGTTTTTGGTTTTATTCGTTATTTTATTACATTTCGCCCCACTCTAATCAAGACAAGTAAAATATATTAGCAAACAATTTTAGCTTATAAATAGAATCATATTTTTTAGGGCTAGGTACTCATGAGTTGTAATAAAACAGGTGGTTAGTAACTTGTCAAGTTAAAAAATACCCGTTGAATTAATTTTTTTATAATATCGTTGGGTTTAATTTATTAATATTTCTCTAGAAGTAAGGCTTTGCAAGCTTGGCCATTAGCCTGTTATTAATTTTTATTTAACTGTTTCAGGTGATAAATCTGTATGCGAGCAAACTATCAGGAGGAGTATTGGACTCAATTTGAGTGGTAGTCAATTAGTTTTTTTTTTGTACATATTTGCCTAATTATTGTGTCTTTTTTTATAACCTATTAGAAATTTAAGTATGTTGTCTCTCTTCTAAGCGCGGTACGGGTCCCAATGATAATGTGCGCATGACTTTTTATGAGCAACTATTACTGTGTCTGTACTATTTTTAACGTTACAATAGATCTCTCCAATTCAAGACGTTAATTTTTTTTAAATATATTATCCATTGTTATTTATTATCTTAAATGACATTCTGTTTCGTGATAAGTTTAAAAAAATTAAAATTATCATTATAATTTCTATTCGACCAGAAGAAGAATTCCACAACAATAATTATTGTTGTCAATGGTATAATCATTTATTACATTATTTTATTCGTGTTCTTTTTTACATTAATATGCTAATCTTTGTTGACTGCGTACCGCGTTAATTTTGTTCGAACAAATTAGCCCAATGTTTGTTGTTTATAAGCGTTGACGACTTAATCGTTCTAATCGTGTTTAATGATAAAACAAAAAAAGTTCCTCTTTTTATATATATTTTACATTCTGCTAATAAAAAAAAAAAAAACCATAAAAAACAAATCTATAATTATAACAGTACTATTATTACTATTATGATATGATTTCAATATCCATAATATCCCATTTAGGTGCTTGTAAGTAATTTAATATCCGATAATTATTGTTATATAAATATATATTTTTAAATTATTTTTTAAGCGTGTGTTGATTCCCGGTAACCAAATAGTGATTTACTATGATAATAAAAAAAAAGAAAATATTATCTCATCGAAAAACCGTAGAACTCAGACCGAGTGATACAAAACATAATATTTTCTCTTTTGGCCGTTTTTTGTTTGTTTCTTTCTTTTGCATTTGTTAATTTGTAACACCCTAACAATACCTTTACCTTGATTTCTCTCTCTAGTGTGGCATACGGCTGTTATATATTATTATCGTTATGATATGTTTTTGTAAAATATTATAATGTAGAATTCATCTAAAAACAAAAAAAAACAAAAAACAATAGAAGAAAGTTATGAATGATTATGATTTATGATTAGTATTATTTTATTTTATAGAAAATATCTGATAAGAGTTAAAGACCCGACAAAGTGTTTGATAATGTTAAATTATATTATGAACACCTTAACTGATATTTTATATATTATCATTAATCGATCGGTTTGTGTATGTGATAATTCTTATTACTCTCCACGATCATTTTACACAAGATTATGATATAATGTTTTGTTTTTTTTAAATACTGGTCTCGAATATCGTACCAAATCTCTCGAATCCGAATATTTACTTTTTTTTGTATCCAATATTGATGCAGACTCGAGATTTTGAAATTTTTTTGTTTTTTTTTAATAAGTTTGTATATCATTATACAGTGTTTGTGTGTATAAATAAACATAATATAAACTATGTATTATTTAAACATATGTTATTATTATATTATCATATTGTATTGTATGTAGTCGGGTTGGACACAACACGATATTATAAGTGTCTTGCCGGACTTGAAAAACCATTATAATCTCTTTTATTATATTATGATATACATATTGTTTTTATTATAACTGTTCGTAAATACAATGTGATGTATAGAAACAAAATTTGTTTTATTAAAATCAATTAAATAACAAAAAAAAAAAACCTTAATGTTGTACGTTTATAATAATATAGGTAATATTATGTTTTTCATTCTCTGACCACACAAACTACTTGGTATGTAAATGCAATATTTTTATAATTTTTATTTTTTTGGAAAGAAACATGGTTGTCGGGAAACGATGGCTTTATCCGTTTTTCTGACTAATCCACGTGCGCTCTTTTGCTTATGCCGAAGCGCATGAAGTTTGTGTTGTCAAATCCGGGTTCGGTGTTCTTTCTGCGGTTCATCAGCATCGTCAGGAGTTCGGCTGCATTAGGCTTCCACACGGGTTCGACTAAGAAAGAGAAACACAAAAACAGATTTACGGTTGTTTACTTATTGAAGACTAAGTAAAAAAAAAAACAACGAGTACATGAAATATATACCCCAAAAAAGCTTTTATTAAACGGACGCCAGTAAACTAGAGGGGTTCGTTATTATAATAGTGATAGTAATTATATTGACAATAATAATAATAATATGTAAAATTTAATTGATAAAGTATAGTTAAACCGCCAACGTATCTTTGCTGTCTCCGCTATAGTGTTCTCCATCTTTAAAAAAAAAAAATATTTTTTGTTGAAAGGTATATTAGCATACCTCGGAAAAAGTAGCTTTTAAAATCAATATTAAAAATAAAACGGTTAATAAAACGTGATACTATATTAATCGATGGGAAAGCGGAGGAAAACACTGCAAGTTTTTCTTTCCATCTATACATAATTTTCATTTTAAAAAAATATGTATTTATTAAAGCTATAAATACGACTTGAGTAGCCAATGACCTTTAAAGACGAAGCTTATTATATCAATAAAAAAAAAAATTATTTGATAAAATACCAAAAGAAATAACGAGTTTGTATTATTATTACTATAGGTAATATACATAACAACCATCGTTACGTAGGTATTTTAGACAATAAATATAGAATTAACAATCCAAGGAAAATAAAAGTGTAGTTTATAAAAATAGCAAATAAGTTTAAAAACATTGTACCTTGGGATATAAAAATAATGTATCACAATCCTGTACATTTGGTTAAGGAGGGGCAATTTAATTTTTTGAACATAGGTTTCTTTTTGAAATTGTCTGCTTACCTATTTGTTGGCATATCATAATTGGTAAACAGGTTGTAAGAAAGTAAACACTATTAAAATCCAAAATTAATACTGGCGCCCTATTGACAAAATAATGCAGTTTCCGTTTGATAGGTACAGTTTGTGTTGCCTAGTCTACGCCTGTAGTATTACATTATTGATGTATGCTAATTTCTTTAAAAAAAACTACTATATAATTTAAAGAAACGAACTGTGACTCAATAATTCTTACCGATAACTCATATCCTGAAACATTGTTACTTTCTACTGCATCTCTATACCTACATGCTGTATTTTTTTAAATATATTTTTGTATACAAATTCAAAATTCTTTGACATTGTTTTTGAATAAAATGAATAGCCCATGTAATAGGATTTGTAATATTATACGTCATGCTGGTCTACTAAACTAAACAAAGAACTAATGTACAGGTACCTATTAAAAAAAACCTAGTGAGTGTATTATTACCATTGAAAGGATATTACAGTATTCGTTCTCGGGTTTTATGTTTCCAAAGGCTAACATTTTCTTTCTTTATGGACACATTACTTTTGAAATATAACTAAAATTAGATTTCTTCCATCAACGATTTTCAACGTCTTAATGGGTTTTTTTTGTTTATCATTGTAGTGCAAGTTAAGAAGAGTTCACGATGCTATATACACATATGCACTCTCTACAAGTTAATTTTATATACATCACCCTAAAGACTTATTTTCTTACATTGGTATCGTCTGACCGGGAAACCCATTAACGACCAAATCGATAACCGTTTCGAAATTTCCATAATAACATAATGTAAGCGTTGTAAAAATGTCCACATTTTTTAAAGCTTTTTACACATCCGCTGAAAGTATTGTAGTTTATTTTTGAAATTTAAAAACATAATAAAATTTAATGTTGAGTCTGTTCTATAACTGCATTCGTGTAGGTACAAAAAACAACAAGATTTACATAACGAATTTCAAGAATATGACCAAAAATGGTTTTAATTTCGCAAGTGTTATATTTAATAATTCGAGTAGTCTAATTTTAATTTCAACTACTAAATGATTATTACAAGTTTGCGAGTTTCCAGATGTTGATAAAAGATTAGTTTTTAGCTGTAATAGTTTCAAAGTCGTGGGGTTTATTGTTTTAATATAGTACCTATACTATTCGCATACTTCTACTGTAGTATACTCTAATAAGTACAACTAATTATCCATCTATTCACTATTGGTTATAACAGACTTTTATTTCTTTTTTTTATATCTGTTTTAATTTAATTTTGGCAATAAAAACTCTAGCTGTTGTATATTTATTCAGTTTATATAACAATTGTGTTATTTGATGTGGGCCGTATAGTTCTATGTAGGTACACATATATTTAGTGGTATGATTAAAGAATAAGACATTTCTCATTTTTAAAAGCCTGCGGCGGCAAACGTTTGTTGGAACTGCATTTATAATATTGTTTGGTGTCTAAAATATTTAATATTATTACTCAAGTTGATTAACAATAGTAGCGCACAGTATTTAGTGTGGTTCTCGCGAAAAAATATTTTTTATTATGTTTTTAATGTATAAATACATTGCATATTTTTTTGAACAGTGGAAACAAATATAACGTAACAGTATATTATTCGGAAGCGGGAAGTTATTTTTTTGATAAGTCAGTCGTAGGAGTAACTATATAGGACTCGTGTTCCGGGTTATACAACAGAAGTCTGATTATCTGCACGGAGAGGGGAGGGAGAGTATTCAAATGTAATGTTTTGACCACTATTTTGTTTAACATTTTTTTGTGAAATTATGATATTGTTTTGAACTATTATCGAAACGGTTTCGACATGTTCACCTTGTACTTTTTTCTTTTTGTTGTAAGGTCTTAAGGTTAAAATAATAATTAATACTCACTGAAGAATCTATATTAAAAAATCTATACTCAATCAGTTTATTAAAAATAATGACACAGCGGGCGTAGTTGTACATAAAAAAGGTTTTTCATTTTATTTGTTTTCTAAATAACTCAATCTGTTAACAATTTTTTTTTATTTTATAATATGTTTTATTGCTGACAAAACAGCTTGAATGACTTTTGTGGAGAGGCCATCCGTCTGGGGTACTCCACAATCAAACGAGGAACGTAGTTCTTTCTCCCATTTATTGATGAATTACCTTTATTTTATTGTATAACTTGGTACAAGTACTTGGTTATACAGTGTGCCAATATAAATTAGGCAGTCAGTAGAATATTTAGTTTGATATGAAATGTGAATATGTTAACGTTATTTTTGAATGTCTAATTTAAAAATAACTTCTATAAAAAGAAACTGGTGTAGAGATCTCCTTAATGATTAACCAAAAAAAAAAAAAGTAAAAATTTAAAAATTTATATATAAGATTTATATATAAATAAGCAAAAGGAAGTGCGATCACTGGATGGTTTCTTCCCTCACCCTATTCATGTGAAAATTACTTGTAGCCCATATTCTTATTATGCCTAGGGCATAGATTGTATATTTCAAATAAAAAAAAAAAAAACTTCTATAAACAATTTTTAAAATCTAATAAGAGCGCCCAAAATTTTAAATAAAAATAAAACAAGTAAGATATTTTGTAGAACACACATATATGCATTATACAACAGCTGTTAAAATTGTTATATTGTGTAAAACTGATTATCAAACATTTCAAAATAATTGTTATTAATGTACCAACTTAAAATAACTCCTAAAAAAATGTTAACTTAGCTGTTGTCGCAGTCAACATTTATTTGGTTAAGTAACTTAAAACATTTTAATGGGAATTGAAAGTGAATTAAAATTATGGGTTTTATTTTTTTAAGTTAAGTTGACCTGAGAATTCGATAAAAATATGACTTTTGAAAAATGCACTAAAATATCAGCATTTTATCTTAACTTTGCCATTATCACACTTTACAAAAAAAAATTCATTTTTTTATGTTACTCCGCCATAATATAACCATTTAAAAGTAATGTATTTTCTTAGTATTTCTTTTTTGTAAGCGATGCATCTGATAAAATAGTGTTATTGTGGTTCGACGATACCACTACGCTGAGTACTGATGTTTTCTCACTAGTTAATTATAAAAAATAAGCGCTTTTTCTAGAAAAAAAAATTTTTACTTTTCATCATGGAATAATCTCTTGTTTGTAGGGGTAACAGGAGGGGGCGGTTACAGATTTCAGAACATCAATTCTCTTCATTAACTACCATTCCGTGTAAAATAACATGACGTGTAATGGCGCTGTTCTCGGTTAACTAGATATTTTATAGTTTTTTGTTTTTGTAGCAAATGCGAATGGATACTAAAGACAAACCACATTACTTACATCGGTTCCCCTCGTCGTTCATGTATTCGCGATTGGTGATCATGGCGTAAGGCAACACCACCCCAGCTTGGCTAGCCCTCAATCTGGCAACAGGATGGTACGGCACCGAATACCTCTTGCTGTTAAGCTGATAAGTCAGATAGTGTGGCGTATCCGCATAGATCCTCTCGTCCATTCGGCTGTCGTCCCAAGGCCCAGTCGGAAGTCCTTCGGCTCCATCGTCTAAAAATCACCATAATATTTTATGTAAATGCAATTGCTGTAATCCTAAAAACAGTTGAGTATGATGTTGCAACGGGCATGTATGTAGGGTACGCCTATGCCAAATTAAAAAACCGGCTTAAGGCCAGAAAATAAAAAAACCTATCATTCACAAGCGAATGATCAAAGGAAAAATAATAATCGGAGCGTGGAAAATCGGTCATTTCTGATAGGGAAAGGCCGGACTACACTCTGGCAGCGGCTAAGCTAGTTGGACAGCGTTTTTCTTTGATGGAAAACGCTATGTTGGTTATGAATGTGCTCATCGTTACACTATTAGAATCATCGACTTCAATTTCGATGCGGTCACATCAAATTCATGAAATTCATGAGTTATTTTCAAAACTCAACATTTTTACAGCATAAATACATTATTATGTTTGATATTAACATTTAAAAACTTCAAAAATAATTTAAACGATAACAAGATATCAAGTACTAATTAAAATCACTCTGTCGTGTCTGCGTGTTACCAAATAATAATAATTAATTTTTATTCGTAACCATACTTTCAAAATACAATTTGTGACTATAATATAATAAAAACCGGTGCGGTGCTGTTTGTATTTTAGCTATTTAAATCCTTACATTTTGTCTTCGTTCTTCTCTTGTTCTAAGGTTTCTGACAGAGAGCCAAAACGGGTTAAAACCACGACAAAAATCTGGATAATGCGAAAAAAAAAATGTAAACGTTTTTAGACCCTTAGCCAAACCCCGAAACCCAAAATCCTAAAAATCGGGAGTGGTTTTGACTTCATGGTTGCTGACTGGTGTTTTAATATACTACTACAAGCGAAAATACATTTAAAACAATTGAAGTACTTTTAGGTCACTTAGAATATGCTCGTCGGAACTATTTAATTCAAATTGTAAGCCATAAGATAGGTTTTATAGGGTTACCTTAATTTATTTTTCTATCTATTTTAATGTATATAATATATAGTGTATGTAATATAGTATAATATATGTACATATATATTGTTATATTATATACATTAAGATGCTTATTGATAATTCCAAAATTAAATTAGATACCATATTATATAGTGTTACTTATCAATACCTTAAATCTCTATTTCGGTAAAACGGTTAATGTGTTCTTTTCATTACTTTGAAACGTCAATCATCCGTAATTTTTTTTTATCGCAACTCTATGGAATATCTAAATTTAAAAAAAATGTATTGATGTTTTTAAATAGTGTGTTCTCAAATTCAATGTGGAGCTGAAAAGGTATTGATTTTACAATGTTTTATAATATGGATAATTTCATACGAGTTAATCGACCAAGAAGTACAACGTGTACGAGGGTAGGTTCATATAAGCATTATTATGTATTTTATATATTCTACTCAGTAAAACAAGTTAAAATTGATGTTGCCCTCAACATTTTACAAAAAATTACCAGAATGGTAATATCTTAACAGTTATTTACTTTTAACACTGAAATGTATTTTGATTTTTGTGAGCTTGTAAATTTAAAAACATTAAATAACATCAAACAAATCATTAGCTAGTAGATTCAATTAGGGGTAATATTATATGTGAGAGAACGATATTATTATTATTATGCCCTTTACAGATGTTTAATTGGTATAAATTATTACAAAAAATGTTGTGCATTGATTTTATAGAGTATTGTAATTATTTTTAATTGTTTTTAAATGGCAGACTCATTAAGAGTTGAGCAAACTTTTTTTGCTTAGTAGCCATCGAATATATATATTATATATATTTATATATATGTAAATGTTTTTATTGGTCTTATTAAGAGTTAAAAACTTCGACAACAAATGCCATTAGTTACATTACATTACTTAAATTTGTAAATTTTGATTTGATTTTAATTAACCACCAAACTGTGTATCATCATTTGTCTATTAAAAATGTGTGGTTTTAGTGATCATAACGTTATTTGAAATTGATTTTTAAAGATACATTAACCATTTTTAAATTGAATGACAAAGTTAATTTTAATACTAACTTAAATTGAATGCTTTAATTTGATTACTTTTTTCCTAATTGATGAAGTAAAACGTAAAATATTGTTTCCCTGAAGCATAGGAACACAAATTATTAAGTACTAAGACTAATATAATTATATTGGTTTTAAATCCTCTCTGCAATATTGAAAATTATTATACCAAATGAATATTAATTATGTTGACAGTCTGTTCACGGTTTTACAAGTTATAAAAAATTAAAACTCTTTTATAATAATTAGTGTTTACAAATAAAGATCATCTATAATTGTTTTAATAGAAAAATAATACTATTCAGTAATATTTAAAGTTATTTAAAATTTGCATTTCAAAAATAATTTTGTCGTACAAATTTAAATTCAATGTTCTTTCACTGAACATCACTCATAAGAATAAATTAGAAATACAATTTTTGTTTTGCATTCCTGTACGAATTTTATAAAATCCACCTGTATTATTTTGGTTTTAACCATTTCAGATAGTTTTTAATTTATATTATTAAAATAAAAACGCATCAGTATTTTACTTCTACCTTCGTATTTTTTTCTACTACCGGCGATGAGGTAATATTATAATTTATAACATATAATATGATTTGTTGTTACTTATACTATTGTGAGTAGGAACTCACTAGGAACAGTTGAAATTTATTTATAATGTAAATCGTTATATTTTTCAGTTAAAAAGACTGCGCTGAGAAACATGCATGGCGTCGCTACTTATATTATTGTGAGTGGAAACCGTTGAAATGTATTTCAAGTATAAATGTTATATTTTTTAGTTATTAAGGCTGCGCTGAGAAATTGTAAGTCAGACTTCTTACCGGACATGAGGGCGGTGCTGGCGGCAACGAAAAACACCAAGGTACCGGTGATGGAAGGCAGGTAAAACATGACGAAGATGTGCACTATGGTGTTAATGATACGAACCGTGTGCAATCGAATGACAGCGTTTTTGGGGGGAAAAGGCGGAAATACAGTGATTCAAATGCTGCGGCAACGGTGTCGGCGACATGCACAGCGCATTCTGAGACACCGAAGACGTCGTTATTAGGTTTATATAGGGGTGGCCGCCAATGGAAGCGCTGACGAGGGTGAGTTGTAGAAATATTTGCGTGGGGCGCAAGGCAGCCACCAACAATAACGCTTACTGAGGTCAGTTGCCCGTTCAGTGACGTTTCAAAATTTAGTTTAAAAAAAAAAAAAATGTTATACAATTCGAGTTTTCCTAGTATGAAAATACATATTATACTATCGTACAACAATATTATTGGTACATAAATACCATAATAATTAGCATCCGTCACATAGACTTCATACACAAGATTTCTGAAGCGCCTTCAATCGCCTATTTGGACCGTACATTTAAAATAAACTTTTTGGTTAGTTAATAAATTACCCAAACGTGTCGGAGAACTAGTGACAACGTGTTTAGATCGGAAAATTATCAAACTAACGATGTTGGAGGTGTTTTTTTTTTAGTTAAAGAAACGCTTCAGTGCATATTTCTAGATTTTAAAAAACAAATATATCGGTTATCGATGATAAAAAAATATAAAGGTGATATTGATAATATATATGATTTGTTTAGGGATTTATATATTTTATTGACTATAAATGGTAGTTATAATAAAATCGCCACTACATTGTTGGTACTTTTCAAAATAATTTACGCATACAAAAGATTTATTTTCAATTAAATTGTCAGCCTTTAAATCCAATAACCATTTTCAAAAAACCATAGTACAGAAAATATATAGCTAAGCTGTATCAGGACACAAACGCGCGTTTTTAAAGTGATTTCGTCAAGCGGAAAATAAACTTAACATTTAGCGCCTAATAAGTTATAGGTAAAACCTACTGAGGTATATATAGGCACAGCTGATTACACTAACTACAATACACTTATTTTCATTGTAGATGGTTAAACACTAGTAGGTACCTTATAACGTATAAGAGGACAAAAAGAAAAAAGGTATTGTTTACTTTGATCCAGAGCTGAGAAAGTATTAGTTTTACGTTTGTTTCCGGGCCCACACGAGAACTTATAAATCCAGACAATTTCTGCATATTATAGCCAGCACATAGATCAGAAATCATACACCCAAAGATACATTGCAAGACCTTTAGTTAAAATAAATCACCCCTTCCAATTTGAAACAATCTCTAAATTTACTAATTTTTTAGAAGTAATCAAAATAGTTCCAAATTTGTTTGATGTGATTTTTAGATGTCATTTTGCCTGGGAGGAAGTAATGTGTAAACAATTCCCTCCCAGGTTAGCAATTACTTGGTTAAAAAAAAAGATGTCATTTTACCGATTAGTAGTAAAAAATGAAATCATTAGCCTTTTCTCTAGAAGGGAATTACGTACAATTTTGTTAGTAGTCAAACTTATTTCGCATTTTTAAATGTTTTTTTTTATTTAGGGTCTGAAAGTTAGATTAATAGTACCTAACTAATTGAAATAATCTTAAAAATCTGAAGTTGAACTTCTAACAAAAACCAAATAGTTTATTATTAAAAATATACGTCAAATATAAAATTTACAATGTTTCGTTTAGGTTACTTGACCTATTAAATCGGCCCCGCAGTTCAAACTAAGTAATTTTAAACTGGTACATGTGCAATTTTAATTAAAAACAAATACTTAAAAACAACAAAACCATTTCCAAATTCTTGGTATTACTAGGAATAATTTCAAGTTGATACATTATTTTTATAATAATGTTGAGTTGGAGTATATTTGGCTTGTTCTTTTTAGTTTCTATTTACTATTTAAACACAGTGTTGTAAGATACAAAATCTTAATTTAATACTAAAAACATAGAAACGGTATAATGATATAACAGTAATATATTTTTAAAGGGATATGTTAAAATAACTTTACATTAAAATGTAGTTCAACACTTCGAGCAAATGGAGCCTTAATTAAATTCCATGCTTTACGTTTCCTTAGGGGTTTGCTCGAAAAACTAATTTGATGCTTCATTATAATGGTTATATTTAAACTCGGATAATACACGTTTGGGTTATGGACACGTTATAATTAGTAAACATATAGAAAGTCGCAGTCCGTTCAGAAAATAGGATTCTTAAGTATTTTATTATTACAATTCTTTCTTTTTTTTTAATCGTCTTAAAATATGTTATATTAATTTTTTTTTTAACACTTAACGATTTTTAGTTAATTTACAATTATTTACTATAATTAAATTACAATAATATAAAATATTAAAATATTTTAAGTTAAGTTATAAAATAGTATTTAATTTTTCTAAAGTTTGGTACAGCAAATGTTATTAACCCTGCACTGCATGATTTTTTTTTGTTCGAAAAAAAGTATGTGCATTGGATGTATCTACTTAATATCACTTACAAATATGACAAAAACATTTGTTGAGTTTTAGTTTCGCTGAAAATTCCAAATTTTTAATTGATCCAAGTATGGATGATTGTGCGGTGAAGGGTTAACGTGTTTACGGCATCTAATTACTAATTATGTATTACTTACAAAATATAAGCCACCCAGTGGTGGTACTTTATGACTTGAAACTTTATTAGCTATGCAGTAGGTAACTAGTTTGAAGGTAGCACTGTGGAAAGCCAATTTTGACCCATCGTAGTTTTAAATAAAAGCAATGTTCCTTAAACCAAAAAGGTATTTATCATTTACAAAATCAGTGTTTTAAAATACAAAGGTATTTGTTCAATTTGTGTTCTAAACTTTAGGTTCTAAACTTTTGTCATTGATTAATCTTAAAACGACGTTTTCCTTCTCATTTAACAGCTTTAGGTTATACTATACATGTATAGTGTATACTGCTATACATGCAAATATTTCAAGATTAGAATAGTTGAAAACTATTGGTTTTCTGCTAACATTAGCAGTTCGGTAATATCATACATTTGTACACAAAAAATAGCATATGAGATACGACACGCACCTGAGTAGGTGTTAAATTATTAATACATATAAATATGAGTGGATGACAGTTATATAAATTGTGTAGATGACTAAAATCTTGAGGATAAAACAAAGTATTCATAATTTATATGGTATGTGAGTATTTATCACCATGTTTAGACTTGCTTAAGGGCTTTTAACTAATACAGACTTTCTGCCGTGAAAATAAAATAGTAATCGTCATAATATGTGAGAGTCGGTTCTAAATTTCAAGTACTGCAATTTTTAAAATTGTACGGTTTTTATGTATATGAAGTTAGCTCTCCCCCCCCCCCCACCCAATTAATTTAAATAACATTTTTCTAATTGTGAGTTTGTAGTATTCTATTTTTAAGTATTTGTAAGTTATTTTTATAAATTTTACATAAATTCTATTAACTATAATTTGTGTTCATCGTCTAGAAATGACCATTATATATACCAAACACAAACCTAATATTTAAGGGATTATAGTTATTTTGGTTTCTTTGTTTTACTTTTTTTTCAAAGCAATAGTTTCAAAGAGCCCACTATGTTCATGAATTTGGTGGCCATCATGTAACAAACCTTATCAATAACCATTTAATAATTTCATACTTTTGTCAAAATATATCGTACATGGGACCAAGAGACCTTATCTTCCCGGAGCAAATTGGTCAGGAGAGCAAAACTAACTTTTTATCAACTAATTAACTTATTAGGGGTTCCAACTTAAATTTTCATAACTTTTAAACGGATCGACATATCATTGTTATCTTGTATCAACAGATAACTGACGTTATAGTAAAATTCAAAAACCACGATTTTGAAATATTGAAGATAAAGTCCCTTTTCCCATTGACGGTCACATATTATAACATAATATATTATTATTATACAAAGAGCAAGGATAAATTTACTTATTTAGTCCAACAGGTCAAATAACTATTATTAAATCATATAAAATTATAATAAATAAGCCATTATATTATTTCAACCCATAAACGCGGAAACATTCAAAATAAACTATTGCAAAAAGAGTTTTTTTTCTCAAACCAAATATATATAAGTATAATAGTATGCTCAAATCCAAAATATTTTGATAGCGCTACAACAATGTGCCATAGGCAAAAACTCTAATTACACTATTATGTTCGATTTTTTGGTTAATGGCATTTTTAGAATACTCTTATATCTCTTTAACGAATGTCCAACACAATTTTAAAAGATTTCAAAAATGATCGACAAAACTGTTGATTGTTTTTTTTAGGTCTGCTACAGAAATGCCGCTATGCTCATGTGCATGAATTCACCTAAAGAATGTGGTAGATATGGGCGTTATCCGAAACAACACACTTTACCCAAATCTTAGTGCAAAAGAGCTCAACTTTGATTTTGGCAACGCAAGCACCACTGGATGTGTAACTAAAATACTACCAGAAAATTGTTTTTGTTTATCCGTGACTACTATATACTCGTTATAATGTAGTATGACGTGCGGTTTTGATAAACGGATAATAACGATAGATTTTGTTAAAAACAGAACAACAATGAACGTTTTCTGTTTAAAAGAAAGTAGTAGGTAGTTTCTCTAAAGTGTTTTATAAGAAAAACTTAAATAAATTAAGGAGTTCCGTTTAAAACTGTATAGAACCCAACTCAACAATATAAATTTGTCGGCACTCCGCGGTGATCTCTTTACCTACTGTTTTGCAAATATATAAATAAATGCAAGAAACCTAGGCTGTGTATTGTATTATACTTTGTGAATGTTCCGTTTTCGAGCGAAATTTTAATTAAAACGTTTTTCGTGTTATGTACGGCGAGATTAAAATAGTTTTAGATCAGCACACATAATTAATTTGTAAGATATTTAACAAAACATTAAGTTACCGCCAACGCCGCCATTTCCGTTTTGTTTTTAGTGAGTGTAATTGACTAACGCGGTTGGTGTCATGCCGATCGCCAACCGTTCTTGTATTACACACAAAGTTTATGGACGACGCCCAAGGGTGAGAAATATTATTGTCTATAATAATAATAATAATTTATAACGTTAGAACGACAAAGTGGGTGGCAGAACTTTTAACA